CAGTCAATATACTGGAAGCCGAAGCTCCAACATGACGTCATTACACTTTCATTTTCAAAACGCGAGTGCATATTTTTTCACTATACCATATAGCTTTTCTTTCTTTCAAATCATTATAACTTCAAAATATTATAAGGGTATATTAGAACTGCCTCTATTAGAATGATGTCAGTAGTATCTATTACCAAAATTAAGCATCAATAATAGTAAGGCAATTTTTTACGCTTTTTTAAGAAAATTCATGCCATTTCTCCCTTAATTTTGTTTTTCAGTTCAAATCTCTTTTTTAAATTTACATTACAGTTGATTTTAAATAGTTTAGTTTTATAGTAACACGTTTAATAAGCTTAACTATTAACAACATAAGCACGTGGTTTCAAAAAACCTTAAAGATATTAATCTGGTGAGTGGTGACGCAGCCCTCTTATGCAATCCCAATCACGTCGATCATACATATATTCTGGCATAACGAATAAAAAAATATTTAAGTAATACGGAACGTGCAATAAACAATTTTTTTTATTAGAGCTAGAAGCTGGAAAACATCATTGATGTAATCTTTAAAAGATTGGACAAAACTTAATCGTCTATGACTTATTTCGAAACAATGGCTTCCTCTAAGCCAGTGAAAAAATTCCATTTCTTAAATGTCTCCGAATTTAAAAATCTAATCTAAATGCGAAAATCGGGCTTCATCATGTGTTTACAATTGTACTCATCTAGCTTTATGTTGAATTTTGTATTCTTAGAATCTACCATTTACCCACAATCAGACACACATACACACAAATTCTTTATTTTATTATATATACTAGCTGAAAGCCCGTTCTTCGCACAGGGTGAAAAAAAGAACACATTAATAAATCTGTACAAAACACTACGAAATCGTGCACAAAATTTTCATACAGATACCGACACAAATGATAAAATTAAAATTATTCATATATTTTTTATTTATTATTATTTGTTTACTTTCTCTGTTGCTTTACATTAATCGATTAATCAAAACAAATTTTTAGTAGTTTATTCCATCAAAATAAGGGCTAACTGTATTTAGCTTCATCTGGCATAAGGCGATTCATGATATTTAAAATTTGCCACAGTCAAGCTACTCTCTCCTATGCATATCTATCTATAGAGTAAATCCATCATAAAAATGTAAAGTATTGTTGCAGCTGTAATCGGCATCAAATTTTCTCTAAAATACGTAGTATGTATTTTAGATTATTCCATTACCAAAATTAAGCATCATTGGTGTGAATAATAGCAATGTCGACGATACCCCAGCTTTTTACGGTACCCTGTAACGAATAAGTACATTTTCTCCATTAATTTTTCCTTTTAGCTCATAGCATATTTTTATGTCATTTAGTATTTATTATCAAAATTAATTAAGCATTTTTGACATCAATAATAGTTTGCTGATTTTTTACGCTACTTTAAACGAACTAACATTTCTCCATTAATTTTGCCTTTTAGTGCATTATTTATTATTGTACTTTAATTAGCAATTTGCCAAAATTTATTTTTAAGGCGTCAATAATAATTTTGGTGTTTTTACAATGCTTATTCCTCAGCGAATTCGTTCCATTTTCCCAATATTTTGCCTTTCAGTACAAAACTTTTGTTTTTATTTACCGTCAATTTTAAATTGTTTAGTTTTGTAAAAAACATGATTTAAAAGCATAACTATAAACAAAATAAACTCATGGTTTCAGATAAACATGGAAATAATAATTTGATGGTGTAGTTTGCTTATGCTAACACGATCACGTTGATCATTCAGATCACCTGGTATGACAAATAAAATATAACAGGAAGTGCAAAAACAGCTTTTTTCGTTTCGAGCTATAAACTACCGTTAAAATATTTGAAAGAACTGAATCATTCATAGCTTATTTTAAGGCCCTGAAGTCAATGAGGAAATTTCATTTTTTAAACGTCGCTGAATTTAAAATATATAATTATAAAAATCAAGAATCGGGTTTCGTAATTCGTTTATAATTTTACTTCCATAGATTCATTTTTAATCTCATATTTTTAGAGTTTACTGTACATCTGCAATTCGGTATATAAGCACACAGACAGACAGGCACACACCAGTGCGATTCTGTGATTGTCTAGAATAAGAAAATTATGCGAAAATTAAGCTTGCTCCTACTACCAACGCACGACCGGATTGCAGTTATGACGCATCCCATTTCGGAACAATTTTCGCGTGAGTGATTTCTCTTGTATATTATGTATCTGTTACCAAAATTTAATTTTTATTTTATAGCCGGTGTTAAACAGCTGACCCACTTCTAAGCTTACGACTATCAAAGTTAGGCTCCATGGCCTAGCAAATTTGAATTTTGAACTCGAGCCAGAAGACAAGGAAACTCTTGAATCAGGCATTGGGACAAGTTAGTTTTTGTGGAGGACTTTTTTGAACGGAACTAAGCCACATTTGCCATACATGGAGGGAAAAATCTCGAAAATCTTCCACGGTTAGGTCGGGGGCAAGTGGATTATATCCGAAGATCCGTTAAATAATAAGGATATTTTATGTAACCACTGTAGTCCTTGCGAACCTGGAGCAGAATTCGTATCAATCAGCTAATGCCGGGATGCGAACCTGGGTAACCTCATTAAGACGTGGGCGCTCTATCTCTTGAGCAACATTGGCTATTGCTACCATGATTGAGACAAATGATTGACATTGAAAAAGAAACAGTTATACTCCTTCCCCCAAAATTTGTTGCTTAGTTGTGATTGCAACACTCAACTACGACATCAGGAGAGAAAACTGGTTCCATGTCTATGCCTTTGCTCTCCTTTTCTGTTCAGATGTATGGAAATGCTTTACGATATTTTCCCTTTTTTATAATATATTTAACAATTTAGATAGTTAAAAATATTTTTTAAAATTTCAAAGATATTTGCATTAACGTTATGTTCAAGGAAACTTTCAGATCCATATAGTTTCCAAGCTTAGAAACTTTTAATTGGTTTGGTTTGAAAATCAAGATCTCCTTCCTGTTTTATGTTGGTTCGTGTTCTATATTCCGAATTAGAACAGCATTAACACGGAGTTTGGTCATGTGCTCTAGTGAGTCTGATCACCTATATCAATTTTATTTCGATTTCCCCTAACAAATTATGATTGTGAGTATAAATTTATTACGCTTATTTATTTATTATTGTTGAAATGATGATCTGAAATGGAATAAAATATTATCGATTGATTCAAAAGTTTAACTACTAAATTAAGTTTTCTTTTAGAGAGTAAGTAATTTTAATTAGAATATTTGTGTTTTGAAATTGGTGTCTACTTTATAATGTTTTTTTTTTTAAATTTTTATTTATTCATTTAGCTTTTGGTTCGGCAAAACCTATTTATTATATCAGGCAAAAGCTTGAAAGTGTTTTTAGTATAAATTTTAATACATTTGTTATAAATTATTAAAAAATATAACAATTATCAATTACGAAATTAGGAATCTTTTTGAAAATTGTAAAACATAGTACTCTTCCACCTGTGTATGCTTCAAGGTTCAAAAGTTTGCCATTCTTAAAGTTTTGTAATGTTTCTGATGCCGCCTTTTCGTAACTATTAGCCATGCATTTAGTTCTGAAAGTTGCTTAAACAGTTGGTAACATTCTAATATTTGTATTTTAGAACATGAAAATATGTTTGACAATAAAATGCCTAATAGATAGTTTTAACTAATCAGATGAACAACCAAATCAATTATTGAAAAAAAGTATTCAGAAGAATTTTAAAAATAATAAAGTTTTTATCATCACGAAATCTTGCATTCCGTGTTAGACAATTGGATCGTAGCATAATGGAATTATTTAAGAACTTTGGAATTATTGAGTAAACTTGATCCTTCTCTTGATGGGCTTACAGAATTACGTTATAAGGGCAATAGACATACATCCAATTTATCAGCCTAGATATGTAATTAATCGGAGCTAAATCGATTGTGGGATATAAAGTATAAAACAAAATAATTGCAGAACTAAAGAAAACAAAATATTTTTCAGTAAGTATTGATTCAACATCAGACATTTCCCACGTAGATTAGCTGACATTTTCTGTCCGCTCTGTGAAAGGATTTTTTTTTCAATTGAAAGGTAAAAATCTGAGTACTTGTTTGATATTATTGTATCTTTTCCTAATGACCAAGGCATAAGTATAAGTGATTGTCGTGGACAAACATTAGTTAACACACCAAATATGGCGTGAAAGTACTCAGGTTTACAAGCAAGGTTAAAATAGAAATGTTCCGCCGCAATTTTGTTTTACCATGTCTAGCACATAGCTAAAACTTAAACTTGTGCACATGCCACAGGATGCGTCTTAGATAGAAGATTATTTCCATTTTTTCAGAAACTTAGTTCATTTTTCCTTTTGTTCTATGCATCGGTGTAAATCCTTAACATAATGCTTAGAATCAGGACTAGTCGTAAAGCATCCATCGGATACTACATGATCCACCCATTTAGACGCAGTAACGGTGCTGCAAAAAAGTTACAGAAAAATTATGGTCGGTCTTAAAATTTTAGAGAAGAACAAAGAAGAGCTTTTATAAGCTGGACTCGAAGCTCGGGGTTCCCTAAAGAAATTGAAGAAGCTGAAAAATAAGCACACAGAAGAAAGGTCTTCCTTCCGATGATGGTTTGAAATTAATTAAATCCTTGATTGCTTTTGTGAGTGAACAGAGATAAAAAGTTCTCTACTTATGAAGTCATTTCCAATAGTTACGGAAATTTCAACATATATTTTTGATAACCTAAATGCGCAAATTAACATGGAACGGGAAAATATCGTAATACATTCCCACAACAAAGGTGGGGCAGGAAAGAGGGAGGCTCAAGATCTGAGACATGGAACCGGTTTTCTCCCTAGATGGCGTATTCCAGTGCTGCGATAGCGAATTTTAATGTCTGCCCATCATGGAAATCTGCTTTATACGTTACTCAATGAAAGCTGCAAGCTAAAAAAAAATTAAAGCAAATGAAACTGTTGTTTATTGTTTTGTTTTATTTTGTTGGTTGTTGCGTGAGAAATCAGTGAAATTATCGTTTGTGATCTCTAAATTGTTTATGTGATCTACCTCAGAAATATATAAGTTTAAGTGATAATATCTGTATCATAATAGAACTCTTTTTTTTTTTACTTCAAATAAGAATAATTTGTTCATTAGTCATATGTCATCATAACCATAAAAAATGAATGATGATATCAGGAAAACTAGTGCTGAGCCACCTGCTGAATTAGAAAATCAATTTATTTTACGACTACCCCCCACACCAGCAGCAGCTTTAAAAGCTGCTGTAAAATCAGGTGTTTCAAATTTAGAAGATAGACTAGCCATTCAACTAGAAGCAGATATGAGACACGCAACAGTTCGTTTTGATAAATATAAAATGCCTGCTAAACTATACGACTTGCCAGCCATTATAGAATCATGTAAAACTTTAGATAAGAAGATATTTTATAAGACAGCTGATATTTGTCAAATAATGATCGCGCAAGAAGAAGATGCTCCTAAAAGTGACGAAGAAGTATCGCCTAAGAAAAAAGACAAAGATGCCAAAGACAAAAGATACATGCTTCCGCACGGTCTCACGCCCCCTTTAAAAAACGTTCGTAAACGCAGATTTCGAAAAACTTTAAAAAAGAAATACGTCGATCTACCTGACGTAGAAAAAGAAGTAAAACGTCTTCTACGTACTGATACTGAAGCTATTAGTGTCAGGTACGAAGTAGTAAACGCTGAAGATGAGAAAGCTGAAAATAAAAATAATGAATCATTCGGAGGTGATAGTGTTCTGTCATTGGAGGAAAGAGAGCTTAGTAATTCTCAGGCAGCTGATGTAGCTGAGTATGATTTATTCGGTGAGGTGCTCAGCAGCTCTGATGAAAGTAATGATGAAGATGATGTTAATGTTGTCGATGAAGGAGCTGTAAGAACACTTGAAAGCATAATAGAAGAAAATGATAAAGATGATGAAGAAAGTAGGAATGAGATGGACATGGTGGATCTTTCGAAGAGTATGCGAATAAGCCCATCAGTCTTAGAACGATATCAAGAACCTGATTATGGACATGAAAATGACAGTAGTATAGCTGTATCGCAACTAGAATCAGCTACAGCTGGGGAAAACTTGGGACAACTGTTGAAAGAGCAGAAAACTGAAGAAGAACGCATGATTCTAACGGAAAAACTTCACGAGCTTGAACGCATTATTGCTAATTTGCATGCTAAAAGAAGGGAGCAAGAGCTTGAAATTATGAGTATTGAAAATCAAGCTTTGAAACAAAGATTTCAATCAAGTATTGATCGTCTTCAGCAAGATGAAGATGAAAAGCAAGCAGAATATGATAATATACTTATTATGTTGCAAGAACAGAATTATACTGACTAGTGATTAAATTATGAAAGCATTGATTACTTATATATTATCCTATTGCTTATAGTGGAAACCTTACTTAACTGCTTATGAGCTGATATTATATATTCTAATATAAACATATTTTCACTGCATATTAAAATTTTTGACTCAAGAAGTGCCTAAAAATAAATTATGTTCTGATTTATATGGAAATGACAAGTTATGTAATTAGATTTTTTTTCCAGTTGTCATTAAAATTAAACAAAAATGCTGCTATTGTAAGTTTTTATTTTTAAAAATTACTAAAACTTTTTATTAATGTGTAATAATTTGATCTTTTAACTATTAATGTTTGGTTTAGCATAGTAATTATGCAAATATTCTCTTAAAAGTTTTATTTCACAGTGTTAAAGTGAGAGAGATATTTTTCCTATTCGAAAGTGTTTGAATTATCATACGTTTTTAAAAAATCTAAAAGCTAGTGAAATTTTTTTTTAAATTTGAGGAAACAAGTTATAAGGTTTATGACTATAAACCTTGATAAAAAAGAAAGAAAAAAGAATATACTATTGCTTTATCATGATACATTCGAAATAATCTAAAATTGTTTTGCAATTTTTGATGCTTTATTTAGGCAATTTCGTTTTACTACTATAACTAATTAATTTTTCTAGAAAAGAAGAATGTGGGGAATTCAGTTCAATTTAAATAGATTTAAATTCAATGTAAATATATATTTTTTTTATTTAAAAAAATGCTCTGAATTCTGTTCCTATCTTAGTTTGTTTCTTCCTATAAGTTGAAAGCATGTTCTTATTTCACCATTGAATGTTAACTATGAGATTATACTCAGATTAAAGGATTCTGTAATAACTAAAGTGTAAATAACTTAGGCATTATTTTTAGTTTTTATTTATCAACAAAATGTTACACAATTTAAGTAACCATAGCCAAATTTATTTTTTTATAAATAAAGAGTAGCATGATATGCGAAATGGAGGTCAGAATTTAAGAGTGTAAAGGAGAAAATAACTACTACACATGCTGACATTTCTCTAAAAATTGGATAATAATAAAAAATTATCATTAATGTTAATATGCCATATATAATTGTAGAAAAGATATTTAGAATATAAAGATAATAAAACAAGGAAAGATATTTAGATAAGGATTAGGATGTAAAGATATTTAAAATGTGGCTAGGAATAAAATTTTCTTTTTATTATGGGATGTAAAAAATAAATTTGTTTATTATTGAGCCCTAAATTCTTAAATAGCGGAAACTATTATAGTATATATACCCTTACACAACTGGTAATACTCAAAGTTAAAAGGCTGCTCATCATAGAAACTTTTTTTCCCAGCAAATCACATGTATTGTACTCTTTCTTTGCCAATAAAAAAAGTCATAGACCTTTTCTCAATTATTGGTCAGGTAAGAATTTTTAACTATGACTTTCTAATTAGTGTCTGCCCCTTATCATAAATCTTTGCGTTACACTCTAAATGTTTCAGAGTATTAATAGCATTATTTTTATAAATGTTTTTTTAAAATGGAATTGAGTAATTAATTTGACATTGAATAACAATTTAAACAATTTTGAATGATATTAAAGCTTGTTAAATCAAATGACTTATTGTCATTTTGACAATGAACACTTTGATTTAACAAGTTAAAAATATGTTTTTTTTTTAAACTTAAAAATATTTAAAACTTACTCACAAAATAATTTTAATGGGGATAAAATAATTAAACAAAATAAAGGTCATTTTATTTGAATGAATGTTTTAGTGTGGGTGCTAAAATAGCATTGCATCTATGGAATAGCACATGTTACATACTAATATGTTGGTCATTATAATAGAAGACTCTGTGTTGAAACAGGTAGACGGAATGTGGATAAGTAATGCATTTTTTTCTCCATAATTTAATGTATTTCTTTTAATGTATCTTAAGATATTTAGAATAAAAGACTGGACAGACAGAGGAATTGTATAGATTGAGGGATATTATTTTAACCCAGGTTCAAATACCACTAATAGATTTAAGATGTAGGATAGTTTCATTCTTGAAGACTTCCAAAAAAGGTGAGTTTGTCCTGATATTCTACTTAATTTCCTTTTCTTTTGAATTTGCAGTTATAGAATCTTTTTTACAAGGCTACAAAAATGATAATTTAAAGCCACGGAAGCATACCTACAATATGGAACATTATTTTTCACAAGGGATTAAATTACCAGATATTTTTCTGCAGAAAAATTTAAGGCATTACTGATAGAAATTTTTATTTTTGTATTAAAGATTTGACTTCATGCCTTATTTTTTAGTATGTGTTTGAAACATAAATATAAAAGAAATAACGTAATTTTATGTTTAAATCGTTAATTTTATTAAAATCTGGATTCCAAATTATCTTCATTTCAGTAATAAAAAAATAAACTTATTTTTACTTTTTAAATTTTTTATTATTATTATTTAGGGCAGTAAAAGCATTGCAAACAAGTAAAAAATAAATTTTGTATTAGATATTTAGGAAGTAAAGAATTGTTACTGTTTAAAGGATATTGTATACATAAAAATATCATTGGGTATAGAAATTTTAGTTTTAAGTTAACTGTTTTAATTAATTTTCACGAATCTTGCTTTTGTATTATTAATCTAATTAGGTCCCATTGAATTTTTTTAAACTATTTATTTAATTAATTAATTTATTGTATTAAAAAAATAATTACTGAGAATAATTTTTTTTTCTTCTGTATATTTATAGATACATGTGAATTTCTTGATTCTGTAATATAATTGTTACAAATTAGCACTCATAAATGAGTCTAAATTTGCTTTACTTATAAATTTTAAAACCGAAGGTACTTTACAATTCTCATTATAGGTGTTAGGCTGATAATCAGTTAATTATAAATTATTTGATTAGGATCACAACATAAGTATTACAGATCATTCATTTTATTTCATTAAGCCCATGTTCATGTTGTTAACCAGATAAAAATTTAAAAAAGAAAAATATGTTTAAAAACAAACACTGATATAGCCAGTAATTCATTATTAGTATTTTTAAAGAATTTTTTATAATGTCTAATTTGAGTATTCATGTTTTATACTAAATTTTACATTTCAGAGCTAAAAAGTTCATTGCATTACTTGGTATAAAAATCTAATGAATTGGGTTTTAAGTCACAAAAATCAAACAGGTCTTCTATTTTAAAACATATTTTATTAAAAATATATATTATTGCATTTTTATACACAATGTCTGAATAAAAAGAAATTAAAAAATAGTTTAAACGTTCATTCTGCCTAAATATGCAATCAAAGATTTTAGAAATAATATATATTGTAATACCATTTTTTAATTTAGTTCAGTAAAATTCTAACATGTTTTATAATATCAGTCAAAAAATTCTGAAGGCAAGTCTTCTTTTTCTGGGAAACTTGATTGAGTTCCATTTTTCAACACACTGAGAGTTGCTATCTCACAGGCTTTCTTAATAATTTCATGTAAACTTTTATCATTATGGTAGGCAAGGAAGTAGACAAGAGTTCCCATAAATGCATCACCAGCACCCTGAAATTTTTTGAATTTTAACTTAGTACATAATAGCATTTCAATAAATTAAAACAGTGAAAAATCAGTTTATTAAGAACAGTATTATTATTGGTGATTGGTTAATTGCACCTCTACTTCAAACAATTTCACAATACAACTAAATAATAGTTTGATAACATATATTTATTTATAAAGAGACTAATTTATACATATTTTAAACAAGTTAGCATTAGGATTAATTTTTCGAATTATTTATTATGTAATTTTTTAATCTTTTATAGTTAATTTTCTAGAAAACTAAACAGTGATTTCAGTTTGTTTAGGCTGTAGATAAAGGTAAAACTATGTTAATTTAGTTTTCGTCAAAATTGCTCAGTCTAACCTGGTAGTATCAGAAAAATATTCACCAACTTTCAGATTTTTTTTTCGTAAATAAAAGAAAAGAATTGTAACAAATATAAAGTTCAATTGTAGTTATTATATTCTTAAAAAAAATATTTTTTCTATGAAAGAGAACGACTACTGTTTATGTTTCCCCAATTTTAACATTTTTAATGAATTACTGAATTGTTAGTATTCAAAACTTTCCAGCTGGTAAGCTAATCTGTAATTAAATGTGATCAGTTGTTGCTATGCACTAAAAATGTAAAAATATTTTTAACAAATTGGGAAAGATATTGGTAAGAAATGTTAATTTCTCTAATTTTTATTTTGTATGACAGAAACAAAAATAGTTTAATTTTAATTGAACTTTTTTTTTAGTAAATATGCTAGTTTTTATTAATTTTAGTAAGCTTTTAGTTTTTATTAATTTGAAATGAATGACTGATTTAAAGAAGCAGAAATACAAAATAACAATACATTCAAATTCTTTTTCCACCAAAAACTCTGTGTCATAGAAATATATATTTTTGAATTTAAATTCATTTTTTGTGTTGAAATTTTTAGATATTTTTAAATACGAAAAATCCTCATTTTTATTTTTTTACATGTTAAAATAATAGTCAATTAATCTCAAATAAAATATAATTTTATACAAGATTTTGTGCAAAGAAAATACTAACAGTGCTATCAATAGCTTGAACTTTTCTTGCAGACACGTGAGTATAAGTTTTTTCATTTTGACTTTGGTATAGAGCTCCTTGTGATCCAAGGGTTAGTATTACAGTGGAACAGTTCTTTTTTAGTAAAGCTGTCATTACATCACCAGCATCTTCAATTTTTTTTAATGGCAAGCCAGTTGCTTCCTCAGCCTAATTTAAAGTTTTATTCAATTACTTGGTTTATGCAATGTAAAAATAACAAATCATGAAATAAGGCAACATTGTAATCTAAAAAAAGAAAGTTAGCAAATTTTTAACTATATATTTATAATGTATTTAAAAACCTGTAACAAAACATAAGAGTAAACTACTTGTTGAATTTAATAAAATAATTTTAGACTAATATATATATATATATATATATATATA